ACCACCAATGTATGTTTGTGAGTGTTTCGTTGCAGTCTGATTCAGGTCTGGGTCAATCCATGTATCTCAAGTCTTCCGCTGTATTTGTATGTACTCTGTATTATCTGGTCGGTTCTGGGAATCTGCGCCATATTTATGACTGTGTTTCACGAGTATGCAACACTTATACTCCATTCCACTACCGTCTTCACTCGAATAGAATGCCCGGTCATTATCGCAGTATGTGGACAGAAAGTGGGCCAAATACAGCTATAATGACCAGGCGTTCTATTCGGGTGAACACGGTGGGTGAACACGGTAGTACATGCCCCTGGAGGTCTTCGTCCTCACTCTCCAGCTCCACTACTTCAACCCAGAGCTCTGCCTAACTCACCCTCGGAGTGGAACAGCAGCATGACGGTACATAGCCCTGGAGGTCTTCTTCCTCACTCTCCATCTCCACTGCTTCACCCCAGAGCTCTGCCTAACTCGCCCCCGGAGCGGACCAGCAGCATGACGGTACATAGCCCTGGAGGTCTTCTTCCTCAGTCTCCAGCTCCACTGCTTCACCCCAGAGCTCTGCCTAACTCGNCTCGCCCTCGGAGCGGACCAGCAGCATGACGGTACATAGCCCTGGAGGTCTTCTTCCTCAGTCTCCAGCTCCACTGCTTCACCCCAGAGCTCTGCGTAACTCGCCCTCGGAGCGGACCAGCAGCATGACGGTACGTACCCCTGGAGGTCTTCTTCCTCACTCTCCAGCTCGACCGCTTCAACCCAGCTCTCGGGCCTAAATCACCCTCGGAGCAGAGCAGCAGCATGACGGCCAGTGGAATGTGCCGTTCAAGTCATTGCATGGGATGATTGACTCATGACTCTCGGCTTTCACTACCTCCACCGCCGGGCACTTCGGCCTCTACCGGTGCACTACAGCCGTTGGACGTCCCCGCCTTTGGCGTGAACATCATTCCAGTCTGCAATCCACTTTCACAGCCTGTACCCAGCCTGATATCTACCCACGTCTGAAAGCTACTGCACCTTCCTAGATCGACTCAGGCTGACTGGACTTCTCTAGGCCCACCCAAGTTGCTGGAAAATCCTACTGGGTAACTTACGAATTCTACTTTTGTCCTTATCTTAGACTTCCTATCGAGTCCGTTGGTGTCCAACTTCAGTCCCACCCCTGCTTTTTTACATATTTACTGTTCTACCCCTCTTGGGAGAAGAACACACTGCGCGAGAGCAGTGTTGGTTCAAGGGCATAGCAAGCATCACATAGAGACTTTGGACACATGGGCAAACAGCAATCACACTCAAACATGCAAATCACACCAACAAACTTCAGTGCTCAGAAAACTGAGGAAATCTTAGACTGAATCTGTGCAGGTCATTGTGCATGTGAAATTGTGAATGGCCATAGTAATTCGGCACTGATGCAATTAAAATACTTGTTGAATTTGTTTACAGGGTTCAATTCTGATGTCAGTGATCAACTACAGATTATCCAATTCGGATAAGGTGCAAGTATCCAATTGATTAAGCCTAACAGAATGACACTTTTGGATTGTGTTGTATTGGAGCTTTGCAGTGATTGGAAAGTACATGGTTGTGTATGGCGGATGGATTTCTGAATACTACATACCAGCGAGGGCAGTTCATGTTCTTGACCTAGAGGTGAGTGGTTTTCAATTCAACGTCTGTCGCCCAATAAATTAAAAAACAATTTAGAAATAAAAGTATTGTACGTTAGGGACCCAGCTCCTTCCATTCTCGACAGTGGCAAGAATTTTCAGCTTGTATTTTTCATTTTTCGAAACTTCGTCCTCTCTTTCTCCAGAAAAAAATTTGACTTATGGTTTCCTGCTCTGTTGGGAAGTCGTAATGTCTTAAACCACCAGTCTTTCCCAGTCCTTCGACTGTTGTCGCCCATATATGTGGCGGCGGACATCAAGAGTTGGTGGATTAACTACAAAGAAGATGGCGTTCAGAATGAGAGATCATGCGACGCCTTAGTACACAGGATAGAAAGGTGACTGAGGACCTTGCGATGGTTGATGGTTCCTATTCCTTAGTAAGGCTGGGAATAATAGATTGTGTGTCCCGAATAGTGTGTCTTTACGTAGTTTGTTTCTAGGCGAATGTCACGACGCCATGGGTCATTTTGGTTTTAGAAAGACGTGCTAGCCTGGTGGAGCAGTTCTGGTGGGCATTTATGTTAGAGGACTCCAAGGAGTTTGTCGAGACATGCCAGGTCTGTCAGCAGAACAAACCTATGACGCGACTGGGTCGCCTCTTGGCTTGCCGAAGCCACTACCTATTCCAGCTGGTCCTTGAGAGTTGCCGTCCATGGACTTCGTGGACACCCTAGTGACCAGCAAGCACGGGAATAGGTAGGTCTTTTGTAGATAGATTTTCCAAGTGTGCTATACTAGCACCGCTACCGGCAACAGCCATGCGACGCCTTAGCACACAGGATAGAAAGGTGACTGAGGACCTTGTGATGGTTGATGGTCTCCTATTCCTTAGTAAGGCTGGGAATAATAGATTGTGTGTCCCGAATAGTGTGTCTTTACGTAGTTTGTTTCTAGGCGAATGTCACGACGCCACGGGTCATTTTGGTCTTAGAAAGACATGTGCTAGCCTGGTGGAGCAGTTCTGGTGGGCATTTATGTTAGAGGACGCCTAGAAGTTTGTCGAGACATGCCAGGTCTGTCAGCAGAACAAACCTATGACGCGACTCAGTCGCCTCTCGGCTTGCCGAAGCCACTACCTATTCCAGCTGGCCCTCGAGAGTTGCCCTCCATGGACTTCGTGGACACCCTAGTGACCAGCAAGCACGGGAATAGGTAGGTCTTTTGTAGATAGATTTTCCAAGTGTGCTATACTAGCACCGCTACCGGCAACAGCCAAAATAGACCTGGTGGCAGACGACAGCTCAGCAGATGGGATCTACATATGACCTCTGGGACCATCTGGAGCCAACCGGACAGGCTGAAGAGATGAACCGGATAGTACAGCAACTACTCAGGCGCTATATCGTACCTAATCAGGATGATCGGGACAACAAGCTACCCGTAGTAGCTAGTCTACATAGCAAAGCAACGCATAGGACTACTGGTCGGTCCCCTAATCAGCTACATCTAGGATGGAACCGAGGACGCCGTTGGATTTTCTCTTGCCTGAATCTAAGTCCACTGCAGCTGCAGGTAGCGTAGAATATGGTATTCAGTACGAGTCTATGCTGCAGGAAACGGTAGAACAGATTCAGAGGTCTCAGAATCCTATGATAGTGTCTGAGTACCGACACAGATGACCTTCTAAGTTTAGGTGGAGGACAGAGGGTGGGCAAAGTCTTCTGAGTCCACACAGGAACAGAATGTCTCTTGCAAACGGATGCCACAGTACTATGGCGGATGATGGATGTAGTAGGATCTGATGTGGATGGCCCATCATACGTAAATGCTGTTCCCGCTCAGTTACACACATACCCTGTTTTCCACACCTGCAAACTTTTTCCTTTCTCAGAGTCTGACAAGCATCAAGCTCGGAAATCAATGCTGGCCCCTACCATGGACGGCTACGTGGACATCGATCAAATTGTTGAGGATAAGGTGATGCCAGGACCAAAGCGGCCTGGAAGAGGAAGACCCCCGAAACCACAGATGCAGTATAGGGTGGCCGTCAGACATCACCTGGATCCCAAAGAGGATCGGTTGTTCACAAGGGACGAGCTGCTGAAGATCGCACCTCGAGTAGTGCATCAATATGAGCGGGCTTGGAAAGGAAAGCAGCAGATTGATTGAAGAGTTCTCAGAGGGGTTTCGAACTTGAGAGGGCAGGAATGCGAGGATTCAACACCTCAGTCAACCAGGAAGAGTCCCTGCCCGCCCTAAATGAAGGCGCGCCATCTTCAACTAACCGGGTAGGACCAGCCCACGGGTCAGTTGAAGATGTTGGGCCTCGTGCAGACTCTGGAAGGGACCAGGGCGCAGGAAAGTGGAACTGGGTGCCGCCTGGGCGGAGGCGCCTCGGCCTCTCCAGCCAGAGCAAAAGGCTGGCATTCAGCATGCAGCAGCGCTCCACGAGCGGCTGCTCAGTGTGTGCGCCAGGACGATGAAGCTGCATGGTGGCAGCGAGGTGTAGTAGAAGGGAGAGCAGCAGCGCGTGCCCCAGGAGGAGGAAGCTGTGCGCGGGGGCAGTGAGGTGTAGCAGAAGGTAGAGCAGCAGCCATAGCCGGGCTGCTTGCTCCATAGATGCGTGGCGGAGTAGTGGAGGTGCTTGGTGGAAGAATGGCATGGGAGATAACGAAGAGAGGCAGTGTAACGACGTACGTACCTGATGTTGACAAAGGCAGGCCGTTCGATCAGAGTCTTCAATGGCACATGGACCATTGTACCTGTTGTAGACATCAAGTAGGCTAGGTGATAGGACCGTCTGGAAGTAGAGTCAGAGGACAGCCGCCCGTAGGAGGGCTGCATTGTTGTTGCATTGGTGGTTGGAGGTGATGGAAGGGCTTTCATTCTCATTACAAAACAGTGCTTTGCTCATTCCTATTTGGCGTGATACTCGCTTTGATTTCAACTTTCAGTTTCGGCTCAATGATATCTGGTGTTCTGTGAGATGTTGCAACTTGGTTTGTTGTTGTTCGCATTGCTTATTTCCTTTCAGACTCTTGCAGTTCTAAAAACAATCTGACGTTTTCCGGGTAAGTTGAACTTAATGCCCATGCGTTACTGTCAGGTGAAGATGGTAGCTAGTTCTTTGCCCTCGTCCTCCGGGCAGATTCATGTGCCTTGCCCATTACCTCTTTTTACAAGTTTATATGCGACTAGATCGCAAGACACTCCGTGCAGCTTTTTCCTGCGTATACACCATGTCAGTATGTCATTGCTTCCCCGGGTGACCGGGTCTTCACCATTCTTGGCGGGCACTCGGTTGGTATCTCTTCTATCGTCTGCTATGCGCCAGTGCATGATGTCATGGTGTTTAATTGAACTCCATTTCAATTTGCTTTTCGCTCGACTTTTGCTGACGTTATTACGGGTTTTGCAATCTCCTGGGGGACATGCTTTGGCAGCAATGGACATGGAGTGCGGTATCTCTTGGGAAGACGAATGACCCACCACCGGAAGTTGCAGATCATGCTGCTGTGGCATGGAAAGGAGGTGCAGTAGCTTTTTCCTTCACTGCGGCTCACGCCACCCTTCCCTTCTTCCCTCTGGATATCTTTCCTGCCTCTCCACCACACTCTTTCCTTTCTCCCGATCTCATGGCCCCCTCTCCCTCCCTCCCTCTCTCGGTGTGCCCCATCCCCCAAACCTGGCCTTCTTTGAGGTCCTTTCCACCCCCCTACCTGTTGCCGCTTGGCAGCTGCCCCTGCTCTTCTCTGTGTAGTGAGGAAGATTTCTCTTATGCTGCAGAAATATCAATCTCAACCAACAATACCGCCACAGTGCACCGAAAACTGGTGCCTAGTAAGGCAAGAGTATGGCAGGTTGTGGGTCATGGGATTGCTCGATCGGATGGCAAGCTCCGGCCACGACAGCTTGCATTTGCGTTTGGTTTGTTGCATCTATACGTCGTCCATTCTCATCCTGACAACTCAGGCAGAAGTGACCTCTGTGGTAAATTCGCATGCAGTGAGGGGAAATGTTGAGATGTGAAGAAAAAAGGTAAAATGTTAGATCAATGGCCAGAATTGTGTATGCGGGCACAACATCAGAAGAGACTCGTGCATGGGGTTGCAATTTCTTTTGCATGGGCGCAGTCACGGTTTCATTTTGAAAATGCACTTCAGGCCTAGGAAGATTTTCATGACCGGCCGGCCACCCGGGCGACCCGGTCATGGCAGAAAAAAAAAAAAAAAAAAGAAAAAAAAAAGGTGGTGGGGTTTTTTCGCGCTCTCCGAGAGGAGCCCAAATCCGGGCTCTTTTCTTTTTTTGACTGTTGGCTGTCAAGGGGGGAAAAGGGGAGTGTAAATGAAATTTAAAGGGGCTAAAGGGGTTTAAAGGGGGGTGCCTTAGTGTGATATGGTTATTTTCTTTTTTATCTTTAGTTCTGTGAGGAATTCTGATGTGACCCTCGGCCAAAAGTTGTTTGTATTGCAATTCTGCACAACATAATTTTTTTTCAGATTTTTTTGGATTTTTTTTTTTTTTTTTTTTTTTTTTTTTTGCGCTGAGGCTGCCCGGGGCCATGCCCGCCCGGCCACCCGGTTGCCAATCCGGGCATGACATCAGGACCCGGGCGCCCGGGATGTCTCCCTAGCTTCAGGCCTGATTTCGCGAACGTTGTGCCAAAGCGCGGAACATCGGTGGCTAAAAAGTAGATCCAACTATTTCTCAGGACAGTTAGACGATTCCAATAGAATAAAGTTGATAAAAATAATAAACAAAATGAAATATTTGACAAAAGTTGTTGAGACTGAATTTTGGGAATTATGTAAATGTATACAACCTATGTGTGGGTTCGGGTGCGGCTGTGTTGTATTCAAGGGATGCCTGAAGTGGATTTTAAACTGAAATCGTGATTGCGCCCGAGTTACCCCAGAAAACGAAACTAAAAAAAAATTGTTCTTTGCGACGACCTATTGTTAAACACTGTGTTGCACGGCGTACGTGTACACGGGTTGCGCGTACATGCGTACACGTATTCCTGTACGCGACACGTACGTGCGTACACGTACTCCCGTACGTGGGAATACGTAAAAAAAAAAAAAAAAAAAAAAAAAAAAAAAAAAAAATGAAAAAAAACTATGTTATGAAAAATAATATTTCAAACAACTTTTGCCTTAGACTGAAAAAAAAAATATGTACAAAACTCGAGTGAAAAATCAAAGACACAAAACACAAATAAATTGAATATATATATTTTTTTTAATTAGGAAAAAAACAGAAAAAATAAAACAAACTTNAAAAAAAAAAAAAAAAAAAAAAAAAAACCATCATCGGAAAAATCTGAAAAAAAACTATGTTATGGAAAATAATATTTCAAACAACTTTTGCCTTAGACTGATGGCCAAATTCTGTACATAACTCGAGTGAAAAATCAAAGACACAAAACACAAATAAATTGAATATATATATTTTTTTTAATTAGGAAAAAAACAGAAAAAATAAAACAAACTTCTTTAACAAATACATGTTATGCAGAAACATGATACAAACAACTTTTGCCAACATAAGAAATATTTTAAAGTAATATTCTTCCCAATCTAACTCGAGTAAGAAATTAAAAACTAAAAAAAAAGGTAATATTATGATATTATTATCATAATAATTAAAAAAAACTATTTAAAAGTTTTCTTTAAGGTTTTGAATTTTTTATATCAAGATTGGTTGGGAATTCGGGTATGACTCCCGGGTAAAGGTTGTTTGTATCATTATTCTGCACAACATACTTTTTTTTTCAGATTTTTTGGATTTTTTTTTTTTTTTTTTTTTTTTTTACGTACGCGTACGCGCGATTTCGGGTTCGTACGCGTACGCTGGAATACGTACGCGTACGCACTGCGTATGCGTACACTGTGCAACACAGGTTAAACAAGGCTGTTCGCTATTTTCGGGGGACCGTCTTCTCCGAGTGTGGCCCCTGTGCCTTTTTCTTTTGGTGATTGCCAAAGTAGAACTTTTGGTTCCTCCGTTGTCTTCACTTACTTTCACTCGCCAGGCAGGCTGGTGTGAGAAAAAAACACAAGAAAAAGAAAAAGAGCTTCCGAGTCCTGGCCTGGCCCTGATTTTTTTTGCGTGGTGACTGTCTTCAGGGATGTATGTCTGTGGCGGCTACAGGGAAGTCGAACAGCCAACAGAGGTATGTACATAGCTATTTGCAAAGCTCACTCATTTAGCTCTTAGATTAAATATAACCAAGGGGCCTAGCTCAGTTAGCAACTTAGTAGTACTTGTAAAAGGGCTTTTACCCGATATAGGCCTCAGGCCTTGTAAAAGTAAAGCAGCTCGGGCCTTGTAAAAGTAAAGCATTGTGAAAAGGCATCTCGCCAGGGCTCAGAAACGTTAAAGCAGGTCAAATGTCAAGTTTTCTATCATCAGGCACATCTAGATCTAAAGCAAAGGGCATTGTCGAAAGACTTACCTGTTCACCAGGAGATGTGTATGTCATGTCTGTTCGGGTAAGAGTGCGTCTGTACGTGCAGGCAGTGTACCTGTTCGTGCAAAGGAAAGTGTCTGTTCAAGCAGTAAATGTGTCTGTTCGTTGAGAGTTGTGCCTGTCCGAAAGTAAAGTCAATAGACCCAGTCCCAGTTCTGGTATAAGTCAAGGGGTCAGTCCAGATCCAGACTTTCAAGTCCAAATACAGGCCGAGAGGCCTCAGCAGCAGTTGAACTTCATTGGGACTCTACTGGGACACATGCAATGCAGGGTCTGGGACAAAGGAAAGGCCAAATTGAGCCAATGCAGACCCAGCGAGGAGTGGCCAGCACTATAAAGGGATCTGCCTGCCTCATTCCTCGCCAGATCTCCACTGGCTGCAATGCGTGGAAGTGCTGGTGCACTTGTGCGTTAGTCAGTAGGAGTAGCGCTGGAGGAAGGAAGATGCGCTAAGAGGGAAGAAGAAGACTGTGTGCTGGAAGGGATGCAGCCATAGCTGCCCAGCGAGTTAGTAAGTAGAGTAGAAGGGTTAGTACTTAGCTATGAGTAGTATCCAGAGTAGATCCTTGTGAGAACAGTGTGTGCATGCATCGTAGGAGGAAGAGATTGAGACGAAGAGTGTTCATTCAAGGTTTGGCTATGGGAGACACTTACCTGAGTTGGTTGTGAACTGCAGAGTTGGCGCTGATGAGTTGTGACCATATTGATGACTAGGAGACAATCTGCAGAGGTAGCGCTGATGCCTTGGAAGGCATATTGATGAGTTGAGCAGAGATTTGTGTTGCGCTGATGAGCGCTGGACTCAGGGGAACTTTGAAACACTTTGTAATCATATTTCTGATAATATAAGCTGTGAGGCTCGGTCCTCTTCTTCTCTACCTTTGTCTATGGTTGAGACTATTGATCACTGCGTGTGAAGATGATGCATGACATGTACACATCTGCGTGAGATGGTCCCCAGGACCCATGCA